AACTATCAGCTATCACTGTGAACCATCAGTAACTAGCTTACTTGGAGGCCGTCGTCATTTGTGGCGTGTGTTCTGCACTCGACGCGTAACTGGTTTTCGCAAACAGAGGGTATTTCTCAGCGCGAGATTTCGACCGCCTTTTTTCATTTTCTATACTAGCGCCTTATCCAACCTTTGACTTATTGTCAGTAACCATCAGCTATCACTATGGACCACTAGTAACCAGGTTTGCTTGGAGCCGTCGTCATTTGTGGTGTGTGGTCTGCACTCGATGCAGATCTGGTTTTTGGAAACGTAGGGTATTTCTCAACGCGAGGTTCGGACCGCCCTTTTCACACTCTCAATATTAACACCTTATCCAACCTTTGACTTAATGTCAGTACCATTGTACGGTCATCGGACTATTTTAACTCACTCGGTACTCAGAACCGCCTCATTTTATGCTTTCATCTGCACTCTCTCACCTAGACAGCGGCTGATGGCTTTTGTGATCTCACCTTTGCCATTGTAATTGATCACCCACTACGGGGTTTCTCCCCCTCCAAGGCTTGCCTTAGGGCCCCACCTTCCTTTTTGGGATTTGGAACCGAGCCAGGCGCCGATCTCTAATCGCCTGTGCTCTAGTCCTTTGCGGCTGAGATCACAGAGGAATGCTCGAAGTCCCCTAAGCCCAGTATACCCAGCGAGGGTAACCCGTTATAACCACGGCTGCATGAGTTACCCAGCTGCTGTAAAAGCGCTTCTGACTTCATCGGGACGTAGCAGTTTATTTCCTCAAACTGGTTCCCGCAAACACCTCTTCATTTTCTGGTAATAACATTTCCGCTCTCTTCCACTATCTTCTGCAATAGCGTGTGTACTCAACGAAAATAGTTGCCAGTTCATTCAATTATAGCCAAAGAACGTTCAGCTGATGGGTAATTGGCTTGGGAGCTGGCCGCGTGTAAAGATATTTTATAAGAGTGCATTGAAGAAAAGGATAGAAAATAATGAAGCATTTGGAGTTGAGCGAATCTTTTTGGTATGCGCCACGCCTTCCACTTTTGTTCAGAATTGCCATTTTTAGTGTGGATTGGCCTGTAGAATGACTTGGGACCGTTTGATTTACCAATCTGGGTTTTTATCCCCTCTGACAAGCCTGATACCGGTTTCCCGAATCCGGAGGGATGTAGGGTTTGGTTGACCTGAACGGCGTACAATCCAGGATTTGATCCCCCGATAACGCGCATGGAAAGCAGCGCCACTTCCACTAAACCACATTTTCGGTTCGCCACTAGGACAAGGTGGTGTATCATGCTATTGCTAGTTCACACGGTCTAGAAGAAGTCTGGTGAAAACAAAGGGCGGAAAGTATTGTCCGATTGCGACGGCAAACAAATTCGGCTCGTTTAAGCAGGTGATCCGAACGTCCAGTTAATCGTGTGTCAGACGACCGTAGTGCGAACGGGGGGGCAATGGCCGGGGGTTAAGACTGCCGGATGTTGAAGGCCATAATTTTGGAGAGTAACAAGCAACATGGAGGAGGATGATATGAATTGGATACGGGAGCCGAGAGAAAGGAGGTAATGAATGATTGTGAATTTTGTTATTTGCAGACGCGAAGGTTTGCATAATTGAGTAAGAGCTGTAGCTGCCAGAAATTTTCCCCATGACAATCCCCATGGCCATGGGTTAAAGCCATCCTTGCAAAAAATGCTTTGAAATATTATTACTCTATTTTTTTTCCACGGTAGCCAAAATAAACCCCCTGATTATATTTTTCGATATCGAAAACAAAAAATAACCCCGGCTTATCAAACATATAGCCATTGCATGACGACCAATAGCCATGGGAACTAAAAGCTAATGCCTAATTGATCAACAACATTTGCCAAAACAACTCTTCTAATTATGTGCTTGTAAACTCACACACAAAATGAATAGCGTACTAAAGTGGTAGCTATCAAAAAATGAGAAAAAAGAAAGGGGCTTTCGAATCGCGTTAGGCTACAGGACTAACCCCGCGTTGGGGCGCGATCGGACGTGCGGGGTTGCTTGTTCTGTGATTCTTGATAGAAAGGATATTCTGAAGATAAGGCAAGACCAGAGAGATTGTAGGTCTCTGAAAAGCTTCAGGGTTTGAGCGAGATAATTCTTGAGAAGTCGGAGTGCGCTTATTAACAAGATACAGGGGATACGCTATCCTGGACTTAAGCATTATGAATGAACGGGCTTTGAGGAAACCGAAGCGTTCTCACGCCTCCTGACAGGCGTCTTCCTCCCTAAACAGAGGTTTTAGTCCGAAAACGTCTGTTTTATTGCAGCTCACAGAGTCCCCTCCCTCTTCCTCCTACATATGCGCCCGTAATAGTTTTTGAATACCTTTATGGAAGTGCCGAAGATTTCGTAGTACCATCAAGGTAAAGAGGAGGTTATAAAGGAAAGTTTTGAATCGCAGGCGGTTCACGGTATTGACCCAGGTTTGGGTAACCGAGCCAGTGTGATCTGTGAGCAGGGAGCTGATGTAAACCTACCTGCTATACACGCCTGCTTACGCCACTTAGACCGCCTGGGCATGTCTTCTAAGGCTTGGAATTCTGAGCTAATTCAGTGAGCAATTGATTGCGTTCTTCTCGCGAGATTAGTTAAAGATTCTTGCTGCCGTTGACAGCTTGCTAGTATGTAGCTACCCTATGAGGCGCTGCAGGTGGCTCAGGAGATTATCTACCTGTTGATCTCAAGCCCTAGGGCCCATTTTGTAGGATTCGAGTGCAGAAATCGTGGAGACCCGTCCCAGGTAAATCAGGGCTTTCTTGGTGAGAGCTTTCTGGATTTCCAAGGAACCCTAGCCATCTTCGAGGAAGTTGATCTTTCTGTTGCTTGTGTGCTTTTTGGATTACCCCTCGACCCTGCTAAACCCGTTAAAATCTGATTTTGCTGCCACCCCCTATCGCTACGACGAATTGTTGCCAAATCCGTCGTTCAAAGCAGTGGCTGTTGCAGTTTTGGCATGTCTGCTGACTGGCGATGGACGTTTTTTTTCGCCATTCCCCGGGGGATGCTGCCTAACTATCGAATTTCAAAGATGACTTGCCTTTCTCGATTGGCCCCCGTCGCGTCGCGAAAACAAGTGTCATGTCGTCGACAACGAGCACGACAATGGCAGTACACGACGAAGATGACAAAGAGGATCGCCCCGACTGTGAGGTGCCATCCGGGGCGAGAATGGGGCGTGGCCCGCGGCGGCGACGACGACGACTCGGCTCGGTCCGACTGCTGTGGCAGTGACGGCAAAAGCCCCGCCTGCGCATACTCAACTGCTGGCCGTCTTCGTGTTTTTCCCTCCTCGTTGGTCGCCTCCCGTAATGATTCACGAGTCATGACCCATGATTCAGTTCATTATCATGATGATCTATGATCTGTTACTGGCTATACTGATTTGGCGACCTGCTGCGGCTCAGTACTCACCTCGCCTTCCGATCAATATTGTTGTCGGTCTTCCAAAAGATGAGGGCCATGTGTTCAAAAACCCGTTCAAGTTGACGCTTTCGAAAAGCCGGCCCGTGTTCGACGTGGCCGTCGAAGATGTCTACGAGAAGTATCAGCTGATGCCAGCCGGATCGCTGCGGGTCGTCTACGAGGACACCCAGCTGAGCGATGCGATCGCCCCGCAGCGAATGGTGGAACACTACTGTAACAACTCAGTCGATGCAGTCATGGGCATGGCCTACGTGTACGCCTTGGCCCCCGTGGCACGAATGAGTGCCTTTTGGTACGGCGGTGTGCCAGTGTTCACCACCTCCGGCCTGGTAGATGAGCTCGGCGATAGGAAAGAGTTCCCGCTGCTCACTCGAATGATGGGCACCTACAGAACCCTCGGGAACCTCATGTACGAGATTCGCCCGGTTGCTCCGATGGAATCACTTCTACTTCATCTTCAACGATGAGGCCGGCATCGAAGGTGGCAAGGGCCTGCCGAGGTCTGAGTGCTACTTTCTCGTTGAACGCGATCCGAAATCGTATCCAGAAGGAGCTCATCTGGCATGTGGACATGTTCTCCACGAGGAACGCCAGCCGCAAGAAGTACTCGGATCTGCTCAAGAAGGTCTCTATGGCCAGCAATAGTAAGTTCTAGTGTGTCAATCTCACTCTTATTTATACGACTCTATAAAATTTGCTCCAAAATCTCGCGGGACCGCTTTCTCGTATCGACTTGCGGCACGGCTCTTAACATCAGCGGAAGATTCATGCGAGACACGATTTGTTCGCTTCACAAAATTTTCTCTACCGTAGTCGCCTCGTTGACGTCGCCCTTTGAAGTGAAGGGCGTCCAGAGTTCCAAACCTTTTCTGTGTTTCTGCTTTCCGCTCTCTTTACAGCCCTCATCAAGTGCACTTTGAAAAATTGGCTCATTTTTGATTACGCCTGAAGTTTCTGCTTCATTTGCTTAATTTCTCCGACATGCCTCCTGTCCTTTTCTCTCACTTCCTCTTTTCCCTCACCTCAGAAATCTTTGAATGGCCCCTGAAGTTTGAATGAATTTTCGGTCCCAATTAGCCCGGACATTTTGAGCCTGAGTTCTGAATTAATCACAGAATAAAGCCTAATTTGGTTAAAGCGGACCGTAATCCACTCTACCTACACTTGGGATCCCTGCAGAAGGGTTTTCGAGTAGTTTTTATCGATTCTCCGTCTCGTCAGCGGAGCTTCTGCCTGGCATCGGCAGGCCCTTCTTCGCGCTATTGGCCTTCAGCTGATGGGTGCAGAGGTGTTTTCTATATCGCCGGCCGGAATTGAGGGGAGAGAAGCTTATTTGAAGTAATAAATGCCGTGGGCAAAACTACACTCGCCCTCATGAGCGGGTACCCGGGTGTTTACACACTGATGGAACCGATTGGATGGAAAGAATTCACGCTGGTTGATTTGCTGTCTGCAATAGTGTTTGCTAATATGGGTCTCTAAGTGCAGCTATTAGACCCTTGAATAGAGCTCAGAATAACCGCCGGGGCGATCACAGCGCTTACTTGAATTGTAAATATTGTTTTTATTTATTCTATTGTCGGTAATATACCAAAACTACACCAGAGACTATATTATATAGCAATTTCCAATGGAAAGTGAGGAAAGCGAAAGAAGTACCAAGTGCTAGGGCAAGCTTTCCTCCTTTCTAGTGCTACATTTGGCGCTATTATCGTATTCTGGACTGGGGCCGTTTTGGGGGTTATTTTGGCGCTGTTTGGACAACTTCTTCGGAGTACGTGCTGGTCAAGAGCACCCTTCAGCTGGCTTTGCTTATAATAGGCATTCACTAAAGCCACTTCTTAGGAAGCTCCTCAGGTCTTTGGCTTGTTTTGCTTGTTTGGCTTCCGTCTAAGGGCACCTGCGGCACGGAAGTGAAGCCCTTCTTTGTTCCTTCCACCCCCCCCCCCGTTCAATAATTTAAAATTCGTTTTTTGTTCCGATCCTACTCAGATTTTTCTTTCTTCAATGAGAAATAGACACCTGACAAAAGTCAGCGAAAAGCTTGGCGCTGGTCCGATATTCATCGATTCTTCACAAAAATTCAATTTCTATCGAAATATTCTTCCTAGATTCAAGATTCCAGTGGGATCTGTGGATTTCACTGTGCACAGACTGAAGAATTGAAACCCTTTGTTGACTTGTTTACCACGATTTTCTGTTTTCCTTTTTTCTACGCCTCAATTAGAAATCCCGTGTGATTTCCATTTCATTTGTCAGCCCTCAACCCGAGAAAGACCTGAAGCTTTCTCGAGCCGCTGTTTTATCCTCAAAAACCGATTTTTCTTCCGGCGCTATCGCAAGATACGGGGGCATTGTGGTGACGATGCATTCAAATCCTCGTGAAACATTTCCATAAGTTAAGATCGGACTACGCTTAGGCGGGGGAGGAGAGACTCCTGGATTTTTCCCGGATCCTGCCCCCTTCCAAGCTTAGTCCTATATGATGACCCCGTATATTGAGTTAGCGCCTTTCTGTTTTTCTAGTTGTCAGGTGGTTACCGCAAGCCGCAACCAATTCTGCCCAGTATCCAATTAGATATCTTATTGTTGGGCATGTTTTTCCCAAGTGCTTTAATATGTGCTCAGAACCAATTCGGCGTTCTCATCCAAATTCAGTTATATCCCATGTATGGGCACTGCTGCGAAAGCTTTAGCGCTGAACACATTCGGGGGCTGAAATCAGCCCATGACACCTTGTTCGGCTCC